GATGTCAGTCTCTCAATGCATATTCATAGACATCCCGGTGAGTCCGGGCACTGTAGCTCTCTAATGCAGGCAAAGGTGATTAGTTTACCTCAGTTCACCTGCTTGCCTCTGCTTTCTCCTCTTTGTGTGTGCATAAACTAAAAACGGTTAAAAATGAACACATCACCCCAGAGAACGCTTAACTTTTTTTTGAATGTTGCTTAAATGTGGCTTTCAGAAATGTCTGTTAGTATAGAGTTAAATGTTAGAATATTTTCTCTTGCTAACAAGAGTGTATCTCTCACCTTCAAGAAGAGTATTCACAATAGTCACAGGAAAACAATTCCTTATGACTATGTCTGTCTACTGTTTCAAAAGAACTCAAAACACCAAAGTCCATCAGACTCCATGGCTGCCCTTATTTCGGGCAAAAATTACACCTGCCACCTTTTTGAGGTTTATGTAATCTGTATACCAATGTTTAGGCTCCTTATTAATACAGCAAGGAATTGCAGTTAAGCCCAATTTGTAAAGCTGTCATTCTGGAAAGAAAGTCCATGGGTCTGTGCTGCATTATATAACCACACCAACCTGGATTAACAAACCCAACCTGCCCCTTAACAGAAATATATAAACAAACGAGTTGGGTTTTGTTGGGGGGATTTTCAGCTCTTAATTGGATGGACCATGCTCAAGAATTCCAGACATTTGACAACACAAATAAATGTCACTCTTCATGGTTTTGAGTTCATTTATAGAACATGTCACTTGAATTTTTAGATTTAAGTTACATTAAGAATATGGAGCTCCCTCCCGCCCACCATTTGTCATAACTCTGCTTACTTTGTTCCGTCAACAAGGTCATTTTTTCTCTTTGCACTATGCTTTTCCATCATCATCACTGACCCTTTATCTTGTACATTAGAAAAAGATGAGAGGAAGGGTGAAAACCACACACCGCTGAGGGTGTCCCAGGGAGAACCTAACGCAGTAATTCTCACCTAAAGAGCTAGAGCTGTCAACCTGACACTCGGTGTTCAGGGAATACACACGGTTCTCACCACACTACAGAGGAAGCTGGCACCACCTGAGATGCTCGGAGAGGCCGTATAGGAAACTGATCCCGGGAACACTAGTAACTGAAGGCATGGCAGTAGATTCAAAAACCGGTAGATCAAGGCTCTTAGCAGTAAACACGTTAGTCAATGTGTTGTTGTTTCCCCCAACACGTACCCTCTGAGAGTGAAAAGGCCGGATGGTAGACGGTAAAGGAGAGCGTTGGCTACACATGAGATTCCTCAAGTTACAGTTTACATGTAATACATAGTGAGGGTTGTTACCACTTCAATGAAATCTATATTCTTTGGTCACATCACCTCCTTGTAGAAAAATCATAATTGTTGCTATGCTGAACTCACTTAAAGCAGGTAGTTTGCAGTAGCAAAGGCAGTATGTCTTTGGGACAATTCACTAGTAACTGCGTAGAGCAGTGGCAGTCTTGGGCTCCAACTGTGACTACGAAGCAAGCAATCAAGGGAGACAAGCCATTTATTTTCCGGAGATGACATGATTCTATGGCCTAAAACTTCAATGGCACGAAGTTTAGAACAAACGCCTGCTACGGACACTGTTCACACCACTTCCTAAGTTCCTAACTCAGCGGCAAGGAACAGCAGATCAAGTCAGGAGGGCATGAAAACCTGTGTCTGCCTCACCCCTGTACCCCAGGAAGCTGTTAGCTTCCCAAAGCTAAATCTAATTCTGGAATCTGCCTTATATCCAAAATTGTTGATGATGAGAGGCGAGCACATTAACTAAGAACACATCAGAAAAGATCATCAGTATTTAGGGCCCAGATTTCTGGCAAATCTTCCTAGATTACATAATCAGGTCAACTGAAATGAGAAAAAACACTTTGTTCCAAGTGGGAGCTACTTGTTACTGCAACTGTATTTCCTTTTTTTGGCTGGAGGAATTACAATCCCTTTAGAAGGTTTTCAAATGGGTTTCCCTAAAAAATCCAAAGTGAGGTTATAATACCATTTTCTTTGGAAAAGGGAAAACCATCTATATTCTTGGCACTGAAACACATTATGAGTGAAAACTGACATTTCAAAGGTCATAAACTTATACTTACTACATAAAGAAGAACATGAAAAGGCTTATATTTCTAAGTCTCTGTGTGTACAAAAAGAATCAGAGAATTTGAAACACTTGGAAGGGAGAAAAATTCCACATGCAAGACAGACATCCAAAATGGCTCAACATAATTTATTTTTTTTTTTATGTTAAAATGTACAGAGTTCTTTTGAAAGTACTTGCTAGAAAGGGGGAAAAAAAGTGATATTACATACAGGAGAGGAAGGAGACCAGCTGGCCTAGGAGCGCGTGACATGGAGAAGTACAAAGGCATCGAGGCACCCCTTCCCCTTAGCTTACGAGTCACCATGAACAAAGTACAAAGAGGTTACAAAACAGGAAAAGCAAATATAAACAGACAGGAATAGACTTAGCTTCATTTGTACATGCGGCTTTTAGAGGCATCTGGAGCTCTATTCACACACTCTAGAGATCTCTTTAAAGAGAATTTTTATCTTTCTTAAAATAGTTTTTAATATTCTACAACAAAGATAAAAAATTTTAAAGATGGAATGAAATGAAAAAGCTCTTATTTTAAAAGGCATCAAAGTCACTAACAGTGAGTTTTTAAATTTCTTTTTTTAGAAGATTACCCAAGTTATCTTGCTAAAAATACATTTTTTTAAACAGAAGTGAAAAAATGACAGGTACCAATATTACTGTGTTGGATAATTTCTTTTATAATATAGAAAAGAACACTTTCTCTACAATAGTTCTAAAGTCACAAAAAGGCTTGTGGAAAAGGGAGCTGCCTGATTGAAATTTTTTTTTTTTTTTTTTTTAAAAGAAACAAACCCAAACACAACCGCAAACCAACAGAAACTGAATTCACGGCCCTCATTTCAACAGCTTCTCCTTCTGCCTTGACCCACCCTCCTCCCAATACACCTCCCTCCCTCCCGACCCACCCTGTCCCCACCCCAACCAGGAAGCAATGACAGCGCCGAAGAGTAGGCAGAGGGCAGCACAGTGCACGTTCTACACAGAGGACTGGGAACTGGAACAGTATATACAGAGAAACTGGGTCCTACACAGCCTTGCACATGCTCAGAATCGATAGCGGTAAGATGTGGAATTCTGCCTTTTTCTACCTAACACGTTTAATTGAGAAAGTCAATTAAAGTGTATAAAAAAACCCAACAAACCTGTGCATTTGAAAAAATTTAATGCCTAATTCGTACTTCAAAAATTTATCTATATAAAATGTACAAATAAAGGAGAGAATTTAATGCTTACAGATATTTCTTTAAGCAGCACTTCCCCCTTTTGGATATTTGACTGCACATACCAAGTGGTATAATAGTCTCCATCTTCTAATGATGGAACGTATATATGTGCATATATATATATATATATATATATATACATATACATATACATATATATATATATATATACGCATATATATATATATATATATATCTTTTTACCTATCCCTGGAGCAAGTAACAAGAAGAGAATGGGCGAACTGGCTGCACAAGAGAAAAGAGAATGAAGCTGGGAGCAACACAGGAGCCTGCTAAAACCCTGCTGTCCAGATTTGCCCTACTATGCTGGTGGTTGGTTTAATCCCTCTTCTCTTCAGCCACTCACAGGAGAGGGGCTGGCGCACTCTGATTCACAGGGGAGGAACTCAGGACCTCAAAAGACAAAGGAAAACTAGAGGTATGTATCACCGAAGGAGCTATAAAACTCACACCACGATCTCCCTCACGACACACATTCTGCGTCATCTCTTCCAACACAAAGTAAACAGTGTCAAAGGTTAGTCAGGTATTTCTCAAATCATTGACATGTACAGTCATCCACCAACCCTTTACGTGAGAACGTAAGAGGCTAATCACTGGGGACTGCTGTTTGAGTTTAATCAGAGTCAAAGGCTCAAGAATCAAGACCCTTGGCATCTCAAAGTACATACTAGAAACAAGAGGCTGCGCGGAATATGTGCGTATGGCTGATTCACCAGGTGGTAAAAAACAAGAGGTTAACTGCCTCTTTTTGATTGTTAACTGACCATCTATTCCTCCAAGGCTGGATTAGGACTGCAAACAGCTTTCCTCTGAGATTCCGCTGTTAACTGAGACTTACAGTATTTTTGTGTCTCTGAGCGCTGAGTGGGAGTAGTTAAAAAAAAATTATATTACACTTGATTTAAGAAAAACAAACATTTCAATGAAGTTCACTTATAGAAACATTCTTGGGGAAAGGTTTCAAGAGGTGTGTGTGTGCGTGCGTGCGTGTGTGTGTAGGGAGTGGAGGGGATTTTAATAGGAGAAGCATTTTCCTGCCTCACTTTATTAATAATAATAATAATATTAACAATAATAATAAGTTTAAGGAGCTTGGGTTGTTCTCCATGTCCCCGTCCGAGTCTCCCGTAAGTGCCTCCTGCTGGAATGAAGTAGGGAATGAAAGGCTGGGTGTGGAGGAAAGGGTCTGGCTAACCCTCGAGATGTATATATAACATTTAAAAATGACAACATTGGGAGCTGCAAACACTGAGGGGAAACATACATCTTAAAATAAAATAAAGATAATTCACTCTTACACAAAGTCTGTCCATGTGGTGTGTAAAGAAAGTAAGGCTCTTTTTACTTATGAAAAGATTTTTGTGCATGTTTCCCCGTCCCCAAATCCATTTTTTGATGAGTTCTATTGTAAAATGTTCGAGATTGTGAAGAAAACCAAAACCCAGAACAAAATGAACCCCCCAAAAAAGAGAAGACCAGGTTTTCTAAAAAATAAAATAAACCAAAGAAAAATTCCTCTAAATCTACAGCAATATTTTAACTGGAAAAAAGGTCCATTTTTCTCTGGTTTGTCAGTATAAAAGGTTCCTTTATTTATATATATTTAAGTTTTTAACTGCAAGTTCGTCTTGCTCATCTTCTCATGTAAGGTCCGTTGAGTGACTGCTTGGGCACGCCAGCAGCGTTCATGTAGCTGTGATGGGAGGGGCCCGTGTACATCATGTTTCCATGAGGGTTTGGCTGCATAGGCTGCTGGGTATAGGCCTGGCTCCCCATCATCCCCATCTGCATCTGCATAGGATACTGTGCTGTCTGGTTCATGTAGGCAGGGTTACTATGGTAACTGCTGTTCATCATGGGCTGCGTCATCCGATAGCTGTTCATGGCGTTCAAGGTGTTCATATTCATGGAATTGACATTATAGGCAGGGGTTGGCATCAAATTAACCCCCATGTTCATGCCACGCTGAACAGCCAACGCACGAGGGCCAGCCTGCATGGCGACCGCAGGTGGGCTGCGGCCATACAGCTGCTGCTGGTGAGCTGCCGCGGAGGGCAGGGGCGCGGACTTGGAGCGGATGGAGATGTGCCCCTTGACTGGCATCTGCCCTTGCAGCCTCTGAGTGTGGGGGATGCCAATGTTGGTGGCAGACATGTTGCACTGCAGCAGAGGGGACGTGAGGTTCATGGTAGTGGAGGCCAAGTTCGGGGGCGGCGTCATGGTGGCTTGTGCTTGAGGCGTCCCAGCCAAGGGGTGCGACGGAGCCAGCTGAGCCAGTCCCGTGTTGGACAGAGAAACACTGGTTGCATAGGAAGTCACAGCAGGAGAATGGCTATAAGGCATGGCATGAGGGTCCATAATGGTGTTGGTCAGCTGCTGCAACTTGGCTAGACTGAAGGTGGCTGACGGCTGGGAGTAGCTGCCGGCCCCAAAGTCCCCAGGGATCCTCTCGTAGATGCTGATGTTCCCCGTGCTTCCAGATTCTGGGATCTCCATGATCATGGGCGCTGGGGTAAAACTGCTGTTCATGCTGCACTGGGACAGTGGGGGCTGCTGCTGCTGCTGCTGCTGCTGCTGCTGCTGCTGCGGGCGTTGGGGGCGCCGTTCGCCCCGGGTAAGTCTGGGCCTCAAAGGGGCAGTGACAGGGCCAGAGGTCGTGGCCGGGCACCACGGCTTCACTCAGTTCTCTCTTCCTCCAGGCGTCCGCGGCTCAGAGGCGGAGGGCCGACTCCGCGAGAAACTTTTCTCGGGCTATGATAGCTCGGTGAGGCCGGCGCGGGAGGTGGGAGACCGCGTCGGGGTCAGCATTGGTCTCAGCCTATCGCAATTAATCAGCCTGGTGAGGGCGCACGCGGGGAGTTGAGGTCTGGCCCACTAGCCGGCTGGGGGGCGTGGCTTTAGGCAGGGCGGAACCCAGGGACTACTGGGGGCGGGGTCCGGGGCGAGGCCAGGCTGGGTGACTGACGGGCCGTTAGTAGAGATCGGGTCGAAATCGGACCAATGGACAAGCTGTGGGCGTGGCTGCTGGACGGGCCTGGATTGAGCCGGGCAGGATGATGAACGGGCCTGTGGGCGGATCTCAAATTGGAGCTGGGGCCGATGGACAGGCCGGAGAGCGGACCTTGAGGCGGGGTCACAGGCTGGGGCGGACCTTGGTGCCGGGGCCGGTGGCGGGGCGGGCGGCGCTTGCGGGGGCGGCTGGGGCGCCGGTGGCTGCTGGGTGCTGGGAGGCCGCTCCACTGCGCAGCTCTGAGGGGACTTGATGCTGCAGGTGGCGGCGGCGGGCGGGACGCTGCTCTGCGGCATCAGGCTGCAGCTGCCGCCCACGCCGGCCATCTGCTGGGTGACCACGCAGCTGTTCTGGGTGAGGCTGCTGGAGGACGACAGGCCGCTGTAGGAGCAGCTGCTCTGGGAGGAGCTGTTCCCGCAGATGCTGCCGCCCATAGTGGAGTCGTAACTGCTGGGGTTCTCATAGTTCTCCGTGGTGCTCTCGATGCTGCCCAGGTCGCTGAAGCCGCTGTCCACCACCTGCTGGGAGTGGTCCGATACAGAAGGCACATCCATCATGGGGCTGGTCTCCATGTTCTGCATAGACGGTGCGGACAGGGATCCTTGCTCCGGGCTGATCTGGGTGTAGCCCCCTTCGAGGGCAGGCACGCTGGGACTGCCGACCGAGCGCACCGACTGGCTGGGGTGGGACTGGACAGAAGACAGCGGGCTGTTGTGCTCCGAGGCGTGGCAGTCCTCCACCAGGGGCAGCTGCGGGTCCTCGTCTGCCTGGGTGTAGCTCTGCAGGGTCTGGCAGGCCGCCAGGGTCTCCTCGCAGTCCTGGTAGGCGCCCTCATGCTCGCTGCTCTCCTCCTGAGTCAAAGACTGCACGGCCTGCACGGTTTCCAGATCCAGGTCACTGTGAGGGATGTCCGCCTCCTCTTTCAGCTGCAGCAGCTCGTCTTTAGAGTGGGGGTCCTCCTCGTGGTCGTCCTCAGAGCCCGGCATGTGCTCCGAGACCACGGACGCTTCGTGGGAAGTCTGCTCTTCTTCGGAATCCGGCTCTGTCTCCTCCTTGTCTTTTGCGTGCTCCCGACTGCCGTGCACATCAGGATCTAAAAAAGACTCCTGGCCACCGTGCTCCTCCTTGACGTCGCCCCCAGCCAGCTGCTCCCCCGGGCCCTTCTTCTCTGTGGACTCCAGGTGGCCGTCGTCCTCATCATCCGCGTCGCGGTCTTCGCTCTGCTGGGTCTCCGCAGCGGCGGCGTCCTCCTCCTCCTCCTCCTCCTCACGTGCACACTGGCCCAGCTCCTGCGGCCCCTCTTCCGACGGCTGCTGCCCCACAGGGGCGTGGGGCTCCTCCTCCTCCTCGCCCACCTCGGGCCCCTTGGCTCCGGTCTCGGGGCTGCAACTGTCCGCCGGAGAGGCCGCCCTGACGTCACTGCTGGTGGTGTCCTCCTCCTCCTCCCCTTCCTCCCCCTCCTCCCCCTCCTCCGCTTCCAGGGGCAGCTCCTCCCCTTCCTTCCTTTCCTCCCTTAAAGGCAAGTCTTCTCGTGGTCCAACAGCTTCCTGGTTCTCTTGAACTTGGGGTTCACGTCCAGGCTCAGGAAGGGGGACAACAGGCTCAACAACGCATTCTCGAGTAGAAATGGCTGCCAGCTCCCGATTCAGTTTAAGTCCCGGCCTGCGACCAGGTCTTTTCTTCCAGTGGACTGGTTTGCGGCTCTTGCCCTTGGGCCATCCCTTCTTCTTTTTCATGGGCGTGGACGTATCTGGCTCAAGTGGAGAATCCTTCACATCACATTTTCTCAAAAGAGATACTGGCTTTAGGATAGGAGTGTCTGCACAGGAGGGATAAAAAATAAAAACAGATTACAGGGTCTTGTATTTTTTAGTGCCTCTTTCTGAGACCATACGTACAACAGAAATGATTTTAATAATCATCCTGAACTCCTATCTTCACTTTCAAGTTAAGGATCTAAAGGAGACACCCATTCCATGATATCCTCTAAAGTCACACAGTGAACCGGCAGAACAACGATCCTGGCCCACCCACTAGGTTCAGATTTATCATCACCAACTGCATGGCTTTGGAGAGTTACTCTTAATATTCAGTTTCACCATCTTTAAAATGAAAATAAGCTTTATAAGGATGCAAATACTAAATAGTTCCTACAGCTACTTTAGACAAGCTGTCTTTATTGTGTAAATTACACATCAGCTCATTTCTCCTTCTTTCCCCCCACCACTGTTTGCAATTTATATTATTACTCTGGTTTTCTTAGTTTCTACAATATCATTACTTCAGGTAATATCAAGCCAATTACTCCAGGCCATGTTTGAGCAACCCTACACCAACAGTTCCCAGCCAATGCTGTGTTTGTATAGGAAGAGCTGCAAGGCATGTACCCGGACAAATACTGACCTGAAGCAAAAGTTAATGTACCAATGACAACGGTTTATCAGAAGTAAATTTGACTATTAGTATTATTTTCTCCCCATTGATTTTTTCTATTTCTAAAAACTATAAATATGCACAGCATAAAATTTACCATTTTAACATTTTTAGGTGTACAGTTTGGTGTGGTATTAAGTACATCCACATTTCCCATTAATTTTTAAAGAGAAGACCAGCAAATCCTATTTTTTAATAGGATTGAGGGGGAGGGGCACTGGTGGGACTGAAAAGGTAGTTAGCAGTAACAACCTGAAAATAAACAAAGGAAATGTCTACATTAGAGAAAAATTTGTCCAACAGGAACTTATAGGATACTATTTTAATCTATGATGATCCAAGACAGAATTTTACTAAAGTGCCACATGTTTTACAAAATAAATTTTTAGCTTCCTAGTTATACATCTCAAAATATAACAGAATAAAATTCTGGAAAATCATGCACGATAAAGCAAAAAACTTAAGTCATTACTATATTAAAAGTATTTATTATACAAAAGTATGAGACTGAAGAATATGCAAGTTGTCTACTAGATTTGAAATTGAGTCAGTTTATTTTTAAAAGGAGAATAAAAGCCCAACTGGTTAGTACATAAAAGCTACAGGTTTATGTACCAAGCATGGACAACAAGATTCCTACAAATTCGCCCAGCAAAGCAAAGCAGCTCAATCTGACCCCAGCAAGGCAAGCCCTGCAGACGGAAGCAGCACGACACATGGGCAGAAACTTTAGGCTAGACGTGAACAGCTAGTTTGGGACCCAAGTCCCAAACTAAGCCCATTTTTTTCCATCTCTAAAAAGGAAATGACAACAAGTCTAATCGGTGGATTTTTAGCTATGCCATAGAATTTAACTTATTTTGAGGTACTGTTACCATTTTTATCAGAAATTTAACCACTTGTTGAGTAAGACATATTAGAGATTTATGATTCAGGAACAGATCTGAAGCAAGTCCAATTTACATGAATCTGACCTTATTTGAGAACAACTTCTAAGCACTTAGTCATTTAACAATATTTACTGAGTGCCTATTTTAAGCACTCAGCATACACAATTAGCAAAACAGGCCAGGTCTATAGACTGCACATTCCAGTAAAGGGTTATTAATTAAATATCTTCCTGATGCTAAGTCTAAGATACCCATTGACTAAAGATTCAGATAATGGCCGAGAAAGGAGCAGGCAAAAGAACAATTTCCTAACAGCAAGATATTTTCTGCAGAGGCAAAAACAGGTCTTGAGTTGAAGGGGGAACTACGAAAAAGCACTTTTATAAAAGGACAGAAAACTAAGTGAGAAAATGAGGATGAGTACACTTGATACAACTCTTCAGAGGCTGCAAGTCATTCTGCACTTGCCCAGTGGGTCGTGTCTGCCTTTCAGCCCTCTCTGTTGGAGGTCTGCCACTATCACTGCTGTATCTTTCACAACAAGAAAACCACAGTAAGCAACAGCTCTGCAAAACATACCATCAGCATCATCTGAATCTTCGTCTTCATCTCTGTCTTTAGACTTCCTCTTAGAAGCGGGTCGACACCTGAGAACGTCCTGTGAGGACAAGTGACGGAAGTACCCTTGAGAGAAGAGCTCGTTCTCATCCTCTTCCTCTTCCTCCTGGTCAATCTCAAACGTGGGTTCTAATCTTGGCATCGGCCTCTCGGAGTCAGAGTCTTCAAAAGGCTCGTCTAAGACCTCCGTGGTCTCAGAAATGGTTTCTGTGACCACACTGCTATTGTGGTGTTTGCGCTTTCGGACTCGCCTTCTTCGGTGAAGAATTGGTTTCTATTTAAAAGAGAAAGGAGCATTTTATTTACAGTAATGAATGCTATCACTTCCATTAGTAACATGATTAATAGTTTTTAAACCTGCTAGAATTAGCACATACAAAATGAATAGGCCGTTTGCCAAAAGACATTTTGAATATTATTTCAAAATACTATAGTAAAAGATAAAAAATACTATAGTAAGATACTATACATACATAAAGTGCCACAGATACAAAGTATCACTGAATACAACTTTGTAAAAGAATAGACAGGCATGCCTAGAGAGCAGATATTAACATTCCCTTACTAACAGTTCAGTCAAATTTAGCACCCTAGGGAAGCTGCCTATTTCAGAAATGACATAGTGGCTAGTCCCTTAACTTTTCTTTTCCTCAAAAGAAAAAAAGAAATAAAACACTCTTCGTCTCACAGCTCCACTGTGCAGGTCAGCAGAACCATCAGGAAGGCAGTACACCATTTTCATAGGTTATCCACAAAGAGTTACAGTGGAGCCTGGGAAAGGGTACAGGTCTCCTTGGTGTCCGTGAGCATTCAGAAGTAAAATAACTCTGTTATTGGGACCTGGAACATTAGGCACAATTTTGTACTAGGGTTGATCTAACACCTTGAATCACATGAAAGATATCACAAAATAATACTGTATCACCAAAACTGATCTAATTCATTCTAGAGAGGCCAGAGAATTTACAGAACTTGCTTTAAGGTCATATCCCGTCAGTAGAGAAATGGCTGTAAAACAGTTTCTGACTCCTAGTCAAGTGAATCTCTTCAAAAACTTGAAAAGTATCCTGTACATGATCTCACTGCCTGTTATAGTATTCTCTTTTTACACAGGCAAACAGCACAATTTTATTTTATAAAAAGGCAATATAAGCCTAGGATGGCAAAGATATATTCTTCATGGTCACATAACGAACAGCAGGTTAATCATTTTTTCTTCATGTCAAATTTACTAGTTTTCTAGTTGAGAACACAATTTTCAAACTAGGTTAAACATGGACTTGCTCTGAGGAGAAATGGCTGATCATAGGACTGGGGCATGAAATACACAAGATGAACCTGGAACACGTTGTAGAACCAGAATGTAATGAAGTGCTCAAAACAGAACAAACCAAAAACACTTCACAATGTTGAGTGTATGTATGTTGAAGAGACACAGGAGCAAAACTGAAAGAGTTCCTCATGGCCAAGGTTGGAACAATTTGAGCAACAAATTAGTAAGATGGTAGAACTGGATTATAACTTGAAGTATAAAGTAAATATCTATGAGTCCATACTGATATAAATAAATGCTTGAATCAAGAAATAGATGGGGAAAAATGGATAAATTCCCCAAACAGAATTCCAAATAATTAACACAATATTCTGCTCTTAGGGAGTAGAGCGTAACTCCCTGTATCTTAAGTGTGGGCTGTAGGCAGTAAACTTCCTTCCAAAGAACACAGTATGGAAAAGAGTTTGAAAAAAGGAGTAACTTTACAGTAGAGAAACCTGACCAACCTGATACCTGGAGCCAGGCGACCGGGGTTAACGTGAACGTGAACAGTGAGAAGTCACACTGACAGCAAATACCCTTGTATTTGGTAATCGGTACGGACTGACGGCAGATACCCTTTTATGATGTGATGAGAATGGCACTTTACCTCTGGGGCCTTCTTCCCCAAAACCCATCACCCCATTTTACTATCATAAGGGGCATTCTACAAAATGTAGCCAGTACTCCTCAAACCTAGCAAGGCCTTCAAAAACAAGTAGTCTGAGATACTGTCAACAACAAGAAGGGGGCCTAAAGAGACAAGACGACTAAACGTAAGGTGGTGTGCTGGGGCAGGAGAGGACATTAGGGAAAACAGAGGAAAGCTGAATGAAGTATGGACTCTAGCTAAAAATGCATCAGTACTGGTTCACTGTGACAAATGTACCATACCAAGGTAAAAGGTTAATAATAGGGGAAACTGGGGAATATAGGAACTCTTTGTACTTTCTTTGCAATAAATTTGTACATCTAAAACTGTTCTAAAATGGAAAGCTCATTCTTTAATAAACAGCTCTATCTTCTTTTTTTTTTTAAGGTTCTGCTAAGGAAAAGAATGATTTTATTGCTCTGGATGAAAGCTGTCACCTCATTAGCACAGAATGGCTCATCCAGAGCTGACACACTTCAGTCTGGCTGGTCTGCAGCAATGTTTAAAGTTCACCCCATAGCCTGGGAGATTTCTGGTATACAGATTAACAGAATTCACTGTCATCATCACACAGCGTTTACTAACAATCTGGCTATCATTTCAACCTTTGCAAGATGATGAAATATAGTTTAGAAAATACTTTTAAAACAAAGTTAAGTCAAACCACTGGAGGGTTGGAGAGGAGAGCGAGAAGGGAGGAAAGACAGGAGAGACAGTACCACCTGGGGTGAGAAGAATGGCTTCACTCCGAGCATCGCAATGCAGGGCACCCTTACGCCCACTTTCCATCGAACTGTGTAGTGGCTTCCTCTCCTTTTCTAATAGAAACATTTCTAATCTGTACGTTTTGTTTGTGTTTGGTCACACTACGTGGCACGCGGGATTTTAGTTCCCCAACCACGGATCAAACCGGTGCCCCCTGCGGTGGAAGCGCAGCGTCTTAACCACTGGACCACCAGGGAAGTCCCCATACATTTTTTTTAAATCCCTGAAAAGTCATACTTTGAAATCAAACTAGCAAGCTGAAAACAGTTTGCCAGCCCTTAAATAAGTTTATAACTTCTAAGTGAACTCCCACGAACCAAAGAAGTCATGTGCACATTTCAAATGTTCACTGTGAACATCACATGCTGCAACATACTGAGGCTTGAAGCTGAAAGGCTAACACACTATGGGTTAACTCCAGGACAGCACAGAGACGGGCCCCACCTTCCGCTTCAGCGTGGGCTTGGTGAGGACCGGGGGCGAGCTGGACCGCGGGCTCTCGGGCTCCCCCTCCTCCTCACTGCTCTCGCTGCAGCCCCGCAGGAGGGCCCTGTCCCCATCGCTGTAGCGACCTTCACTGTAGCGACGGGGCAGCCTGTCGTGGCTTTCTGGCAGCCCACACTTCAGAGGCTCGGGGCTTTTCTTGAGCGGTCCTCGCCAGAGCTCGAGCCCCTCACTCGGTCTTCTTTTGGGACCGTCTGGCTTCGCGTCCTGGCTCGGCTGCTCCTGCGAGGCTGCCGACTGCTCCTGGCCTTCCGTGTACTGTTCTTGGCAGGTTTCTGATTTTTCCTCACAGTCTCCATACTGCTCCGGAGGAGCTGATGTCTCTTCCAAAAGCAGTTTTGAATCCTCATCACCAAAGCGCTCCTGGGCTTTTCTGTTCTTCCTCCTCCAGCGGCCTCTCCGAGATGGCTGATTATTGGCAGGAAGACTGTCTCGGGGAAGGACCTGTTTGTTCAGACGCGTAGAACTGGCTGGTGCTGTAACTTCTGGTTTCTTTTCACTTTCTACTGAAGAATAAGAATCTTGTTCTTTGTTCTCACGAGATGCAGACTTCCCCACCTGATGTTAGAAAATAAAACCATGGTGGTTAATTTTCAGTCTTATTTGGTTATATCTCCTATTCTGACCTTTTAAATACTGAGATAAAAAATGAAAACAGAGCTTTAAAGAGAAAGTTATTATTTAATGGCTAACAAATATCTCTTATGTGTTAGGCACTGTTTTAAATGCTATATGGGTATAATTCACACCAATTACATTAAGTATTATTATTATTATATCCCCATTTTACAAATGACGTTAACTGAGGCACAAAAAAATGTAAGTAACTTGCCCCAGGTCATGCAATGGCACATGAAGAAGCTGGGATATAAACCCAGACAGTCTGACCCAAGAGTCAGTGCTCTTAACTGCTATACAATACCATATTCAAGAAACAAAGTGAATATTATTATTCTTATAATCTAGTAAACGTTAAATGAGATAGTTTATGAAATTTCTCAGAAACAAATTTATAAACAGAAGAGACAGACTCTGGGGCATGGGTAAGAGAAAGAGGATGCTCAAAAAATGAAAGAAAATTTCTGTAATTATTTTGACTTATTTTATTCTGAATATTTTATTTTGAAAATTACACTAAACAGGGGCATGAAACTTTGTTTATCAAAGGAGGACACAGATTTTTAAAGGATGAAAAGCACTGCTTTAAAAAAAAGAACAGGGGCTTCCCTGGTGGCGCAGTGGTTGAGAGTCCGCCTGCTGACGCAGGGGACACGGGTTCGTGCCCTGGTCCGGGAAGATCCCACATGCCGCGGAGCGGCTGGGCCCGTGAGCCGTGGCCGCTGAGCCTGCGCGTCTGGAGCCTGCGCTCCGCAACTGGAGGGGCCACAACAGTGAGAGGCCCGCGTACCGCGAAAAAAAAAATGAAATAAATTTTAAAATAAATAAATAAAAGAACAGAGACAAGTACTCATGAAGACAAATACTGAAAATGATGTAATGGAGTACAGTCCCTCATTAACCCTTTAATGGCTAGAGACACTGAACTATTTGGTGCTCTATTAGAAAACATGCATCTGTTTATTTCCTTAATGTTTTAAGGAAAATGCATCTTCATTTTATTTTAAACATTGGTCAGATTTAGATTCAATTCAGATTCCTCAATTCCTATACAGCTTCAAATTTAGCTGCTTATTGGCACTGTGATAAGAAATATTTACTCATAAGTAACAAATTATAACAAATTTGAAGGTTTCCTAATGATACAAGGCTTAAAAATATAGAAAGAAGTAAACAAAGCCCAGTCTTCCTGAAATTTCTATCACTGAAATAAACTCAGAAATTCTAATGTGAATTTATGGTGTTGGTTTAAGATATCATTATAGGTACATCACAAACACTCATGAAAACCAAAATATGCTCTTGTATCATCAACAACAGGGACCATTCGTGCCCTTACACTCGGCTCTAATTCTCCTTCCTGGCTCTGAGGCTCTTCCTGTTCTCCCTCCTCCTCCTCCTCCTCCTCCTCCTCCTCTTCCTCCTCCTCCTCTTCCTCCTCCTCTTCCTCCTCCTCTGATACGACGGAATTGGAGACTATGACAGGAGTCCAGCGCAAACACTCTGGATCTACATCCACGGGCCGCAGATTCAGCTGAAGCTTTGCCATGTGATCTTGGATCAGTTTTTCCCGGCGGATAATCACAAATCTGAAACCAGAGAAAAGTTTATAGCAATCAACGATGCACAAGGAGTACCAAACAATGAATATGGAGCTACACCCTCAGAAAGCCCTGGAGATAAAAATGCTTCACAAAAAGCCTGCCTGGGAAGACACCACCACTGAGATGGCTCAGAATATGAACTGGACAAACACTTCACACTCAACTAGAGTGAGGGATGAGGTTGTTTCAGCCACTTCCCATTCTTATACTTCCCACCTCTGAAACTTCTGCTACTCTCCTGTACTCTTTTACTCTCCATCTTTCCAGCCCAAATGCCTCCTTTCTTTGTGACCTTTTCTCAACACACTAGAAAAGGGTAAGCTGTCTTTCCTTTGACCTGTATTTCTTTTGTCCCATTTGGATGGAAATGAATCAAGGGTGTATTTTATTTGACACTATTTCTACAGTTGTTACTTCTTGTACTGTGAAGGAGCTCCCAATAAATAAAATAAAAGATTCAGTAGCTTAGGTACAAAAGTTAGAAGAAGGAAGACCAGAAAAAAAGTTGTAAAAAAAAATATGGTCAATAGTATAAAATACAGAAAGGAAAATGATGTCTCAGTACAAGTACACCATTTGTATTAGTTTATGTCCTTTAATTGGTAATTTGGCTGTCCGATCCAAAACCTTCTACCTAATTATCTTTCAAAGGTTATACAAAGGGATGTGATACTCACTGGTCACTCCGGAAGTCCAGCATTCGCAGGTGGTGGAGTGTGGAAGTAATGTCTTGAGGGCAGATTCCAGTCAACTTACTTAACTTCTTAATGCTGATTTGCTTGTCGTTTTGGTGATAAAGGCACTCCAATATTACACTTTTCCAATAAGCCATGTAGGAAAGACGACCTAGATCGGATAACGGTTTCTCTGGAGACCCTGCTTGGCCTTCACGCTTTGATAACAAATAACCTAAAGAAACCCCCAAATCACAAATATGTCAGAGATCCTAAAAGAGGGCAATTTACAAAAATAACAAGCCCCTCTTCCACAATCAATCCAAGTATCAAACGCTATAATTTCAAAGGTAAATTCCTTCAAGAAAAAGAACAAAATTACAAAATCACTTGAAAACAAATTTGCAGGAAGTTTACATAATTTGTACACACCGAACATTAAGTCAGTATTACTTTGTCTACAGCTAGTATAAATCACACTGTTAGAATATTCAAACTGCTAAAAACCAGGACTTCACATTAATAGGCAAGAATGCTTTTTATTCAATGTACAAGGAGGGGAAACCACCCTTGCATGTTTTATTTAGACCGCTAGATGGCAACAGATCTACACGAACTGCACAATACAAAAGAATGCCTTTAATTTTTACATAACCCTATCTATGAAGATTGCAGTTCTTCTGTGAGTGATTTAGATGACGATTTCTCACTTCAACCAAAGCTCTCCTCACAATTACCTATCACCCTAATTTCTGGTGAACAAGAATGTCAGTGTGCGAGTGTCACTGTGAGTGGTGGTATTACTTTGTCCTCTTGTCCAGTGCGTGAGTCTCAAGAACAGGAAAAGAAAGGCATAAATTCTAAGGGAAATCAGTCTAAGAATGGTAATGTGGGAAAATACATTACATTAAAATAATGTTTTATAATAAAAACAAATACTGTAATCATACAATTATTTGTATATCTCAAAAAATGACTAATAAATGCATAATAAAATATCTTCCCCTGACTTTGCTACTTAATGGCATACATGTCCAATCGTGAGTCCTATTTCAAAACAGTATACTGATATTAAAGTATACTTTACACTGATATTAAAGGAAATAATCTGAGTTTTACCCTCTACTATTAGTCGGAAAAAAAACCACCAAGAAAATGTAAAAAATAACCAATGGCACATATTTCCAGTAAAATATAGTCAGGAACACAGTCTAAGGCCAAGTAGAATAAGCTTCATTGGTCTGCATGAGAATTAATACTAGTGACGTAATCATCTGATATTTAGAAGAATTTCCTGTATCAAAATCCTTAGTTTAACCATTACTTCTTTAAATATTATTTAAATGTTATTAGTTATTTAAATATTATTCCTTTAAATATTATTTTTAGCAATTTTCTGAGGGAAAATATGCCCTCGAATACCACTATTTTATAATCAGTATAAAATTTACCTCAAACATACATTTACTTTCTAAGCAAGATTATCAATGTATAAAACAAAATGCAGGGCTTCCCTGGTGGCACAGTGGTTAAGAATCCGCCTGCCATCGCAGGGGACACAGGTTTGAGCCCTGGTCCGGGAAGATCCCACATGCCGCAGAGCAACTAAGCCCATGTGCCACAACTACTGAGCCTGCGCTCTAGAGCCCGTGAGCCACAACTACTGAACCCACGTGCCATGACTACTGAAGCCCATGTGCCTAGAGCCCATGCTCCGCAACAAGAGAAGCCACCGCAATGAGAAGCCTGCGCACGGCAACAAAGAGTAGCCCCCGCTCACTGCAACTAGGAGAAAGCCTGTGCGCAGCAACGAAGACCCAACACTGCCAAAAGTAAATAAATAAATTTATTAAAAAAAACAACAACAACAAATTGCAAGTTCCACAATAACCTTTTTTTAGAACTGTTAGCTTTCAATTTTAACTCAAATTTTTTACTGTATCATTTACTTCTAAAAATTTTAAAGGTGCATAGCATATTTTTAACCACGAGGTAGACAGAGCCTGTAACTAAAAAAACGATGCACACACACATTTTCTCAGATAACTGGGTAATCAAAAGAGGGCAGGTGCTGCACTTCTTTATTAGTACTAATTTAAGTAGTTCTACAGTGGTTTTAATATTGTGGTGAGAATTAACTACATAAAACAGAACTAAGTTCTGTTGTAAATTAATAGCTGCAAATTAAAACTATTTGCTATAGATCACACAGAAGCTCACATCCAATATTAGCTATTTTTGAAATATTCACATGCAACCAAAAGAAAAAAAATGTTCACGGCCTTAGGCTTTAAAGTTCCACTCAGCAGGGCTTCCCTGGTGGCACAGTGGTTGAGAATCTGCCTGCTAATGCAGGGGACACGGGTTCGAGCCCTGGTCTGGGAAGATCCCACATGCCGCGGAGCAACTAGGCTCGTGAGCCACAACTACTGAGCCTGCGCGTCTGGAGCCTGTGCTCCACAACAAGAGACGCCACGACAGTGAGAGGCCCGCGCACCGCGATGAAGAGTGACCCCCGCTTGCCACAACTACAGAAAGCCCTTGCACAGAAACGAAGACCCAACACAGCCAAAAATAAATTAATTAATTAAAGTACCCTTAATTTTAAAGAAAAAAAAAAGTTCCACTCAGCAGTATGACAAAAGATACAAGCAACCAATAAAACATCTACAAGTCTTTAAAAATACACACACACACACACACACACACACACACACTCCACAGGAAGAGACAATGAACAATTATGTTACTATAATCCTTACTGAAATCGATGAGAAACCTGCCATAGCCCTTGCGTTGGTACTGGGGAAGAATCATTATACAGGAAACGTTGTACTTCTGTTGGCAGTGCTTTTCCTGGTGGAGAAAACAAAAGCCAAGTTTTTGGCTGGTAAGACTAAACACTGATGCTAATTTTTAAGAAACAAATACTAATAGTCAAAACCACAGCCCTGGTCCTTTGGGAATAGCAATGCACATCAAGAAAAAAAACACCCCTCTGGGAGGAGAAAGGACACAGTTAAGTCACTGCCATTACCCACAAAGCAACCATACCAGGAGAATAAAAATATAAAATGAAATGACGCCACCCAACACCATGTGCAACTCAAAAACAGTATGTCAATGCCTGAGGTGAACAGAGGAATCTGAGTCCCAAGAGATCTGCAAAGCTACAAATGGTGTGTCAGTGTGGCACCCTAGAAGTGGGATGATTCATCACCAAAGTTTCCTTTATTTCCCTTTTTGGTGCTACATAGGGTGGGAATAAATACACTTTTATAAATCAAGCAATATATTTAAAATTATATTTAACTACTGAAACAGCCTAATAACAGAACTAGGACTTTTCACTTAACTATCTTTATAAACTTAGATTCTACCATGGGCTTGCTTAAATGAAAGTACATCTTTTACATTGTTTGACTACAAAAGAAACTTTTTTTTCTCCCCAAGAGAATGAAAAATTGAAGGAGAGAAAATACCCTTTAATAAAAATGGCTTCCTAAAAATTCTTACTTCTATGACTAAAATGCAAATTAGGAAGAGATTTAAAATGAGAAAGAACTCAGAGAGGTAATGACTCTGTTTATTTCACGAGTTCTATCTATCATCACCACGGGAGTAGAAGTCATGGTAAAGCTTTCCCTCTGGGTAAGCAGCAGTTTATGTTCCCAGCACAGTACAGTCTGTTGAACATTACTAGGCACCAGGCACCTGCTGGTACCAGGTAAGTTTCTCAATGTTCCTTCTGTTTCCCTTTCCAGAAAGCTAGATGGCACCCAGAGGTGCTGCATCCTGTAGTGTCTCCTAGTGAGAACCAGCAAAGATTGTTTCAGATTTCCATATGAATTCAAAAAAAAATTTAAGCTGATATACTTACTTTAGAAAAATAGCCAACAAGGTGGCAGCCCTTGACATCATTCTGGGTTAGTACATAAAAAAGAAATGGCTCCACGTCATAATAGAGTGTTTTGTGGTCAAGAAACAATTTTGCCAAGAGACACAGGTTCTGACAATAAATGGTACTCACATTCCCATCAACCTAGAGGAAAAAAATAGACAAAATGGTCAGCAGGGTGTCTCTCTAGTTCTAGAATAACACACATCAGAAACAAGCACCTGTTGAGTAACCACAGTCCAGCCTAAGAGGAGCTGGCAGCTTTCAGAACAAAATGGACCTGGAAGCTGTCCCTTGAAACGGCAGAGTACAGTGCCTGCTATTTTAAAACAACTAAATATATAAAACACTGCACTTCAACAAAGCATGAACAGTCTAGACAAGGAGGTGATGGCCAGTTTTAAAAATAGCACTTTTTGCTTTTATAACAACACTGACTACAGGAATCCTTCAGATGGCAAGCTGATCCGATGTATTTTCTAAAGTATTTAATTCAACAAAAGATCTAAATGCAACCTCTCTTCTAAAATACATATAAGTAAAGCAAGGTAAAACTATAGTTTAATCTGTGCCAGCAGCTAGAAGCAATGTAATCTGACTGCCATGATGAGATTTCCCCCAAATAAAGCTACTCAAGGGATTATTATATATTGTCAGAAGCACCAAGCAGCTTCCCTAGGCGGCAACCTGGCAAGTGAGGTTATTTCTTGGACTCCGGTTGGCCAAGATCAGGAGGACTAGGCTACACGCTCCCAATACCCCTGTAATTCTTGGCACTGCTGGAGCCAGCTCTTTTATGAAAATGCCAACAATTGCCTACATCAGACCCAAAGACATTGACATTTCAAGACTGCAATTTCTTTAGCAATTTAAGTAATTTATTGTACACCACACCCTTTCCCTCCCCACAAGGTCAAGAGCTCCTCTATTCCTCACCTAAAATAAAGGCTTTGGGAAGATGAAGAAAGTGAGGGATGGAATAGTTCCTGACAATCTGAAATTCTATCATCACAGTAATTAACAGAACTGAGCACATGGCAGGTACTCAATTAATACTTGGCAATTAAACCACAGAACTGAGATCAAGAAATTAAAAACCACTACTAACAACACAGAATCACAGATGTAGCGTAAGTCATACAACCATCATGCAGTTAGGAAATATATTAAGATTTATTCAATATACAGCTATTACACATACCTCTACACAATATTCCTTTAAATAGAGCAGTAGAAATCTTTTCATTTAAGTGTCATATTTCATAGATTCTAAGACACAATCTTATCACATCTAAACGTAAGTAAAATCCATTGGCATTTAATAATCAAATGGAGTTTGATCATAATTAGCAGTACCTTTACCTTCTCAGTGGTACATAAAATAAGATATATTACAACTGATGTCTTTGATTCAGTGAAATACAGAATAGTTTATTCAGAGATCAAGCTTGTGAACTGGGTACCACTTAGATTGGCCTAATTCTGCTTCTCCCTCATACAGCTGAATTACTGACTCAATAGTGAATGAACAACAGTAAAATAACATTTCCAAAAACAAATCCAGTTGTGCAATTAAAGTACAGGTGGCGCTGTATTTGAAATGGGCAGGAAGACAACTACTAAACATCTTCTACTTTACCTCAAAGACAGAAATGTTATTCTTTCTATAAATCTCATTAGCAGGAGGATGGAACCAACCACATTTCTTCATGTGCTGCTGTAGAATAGTTCTACTTTTCATATATTTTAGACAGAATTCACAGAGATACAACTTAGGCAGCCTGTAAAAAATAATTACACAAATAAGAGGGCTTTATATTTTATAAGACTTTAAACTTTCATCACTATTCTTTTTTGATTCTCATTACTACCCAGGTAAAAAGGTAAGGAATGTATCGTTATCCCCATTAACCAAATGAAAAAAAGGAAAAGCAAAAACTAAAGGTAAAACTAAGTTGAATAACAGGATCCAACTAATTAACGGCAAGAAGGCAGGGGTGCGAATCAATTCACCCAATTCAGTGCTCTTCCTATTAGACTAATACTTTGCAGTCTTTTTAAGTTACCCACGGGACAGATATGAAAATCTCACCTTCTCTACTCCTTGATAATCTCCAGTAAGTAAAAAGTAAAGTCTACCTTGAGAACACACCAATAAGTGAAGATTTTGTTACGCTATATATTCTTTTTTCCTTCATTTGATCATTCAGTCATTAATTTCAGAAAATGAACATTTATTGAATACTATCAGGCCCCTGTGCTAGGTACACTAGGTACAGAGTGCTGAGTAAGGTGGACATATAGTAGGTATTACAAAAGCAGATTTTGTGTATCTTTTTAAGTATAAAATTATAATATGTTTCTTTCAAGTTAGGACATACTACACTACCTCCTTCCTTCCACCCCTGAAATTCTGGCTTCCTCTCTAGTTAAATATCACATTAAATCCTGCAACTCAAAAGTCTATTTTTCAAGGTGAAATAAAATTTCAATTTATTCATTCACATATTCTCTGTTATAGTCATATCATTTATATTTATTCAACAGTCTTGCTATTTTAGCCGTAGTTTAACAGGATTTCTTCCTTATAATGTCCCTTTTATGAAGAGCTAGGCAACAAAGTGATGAGATCAGTTCATAAAGTAACAGAAGGAACATAACCTAAACTAAAACCCAGTGGCTTTTATATGTATTTTAGTCTGAACTGAGAAGACCCCCAATGGCTCTCTATTATAAAATATACACCCCATGTATCCTCAGCACAGAGGCTTCCCTGCATCCTGAACTGTGTCCAAAACTGGTAAGCACGCCTTGGTAAGCTAAGATCTGATCCTACAATGAAAACTGCATATGTGAAAATACTGGATGATATGACAAAAAATATAATCCAAATAAAATACGGTATCTTCCCTCATATAAATAAGTACTGATGCTGAAGGAAATTTTTTAAAAACCAAAAAACCTCATTAATTTAGTTGCCATCAGTTTAGATAGCTATGCTTTAAAAAGATTAATCTGGAATTAAAGAAAAAGTAGACTAATGTACAAAAATGTTTGCTTTGTTAACGTGTGAAGACCATAACTATTTTTTCAAGTTCTACTTTAGAAGCAGCTTTTGAAGCATATTTATCTGAAAATATCTAACATTCAACTAAAGCCTTTCCCAGGAGTATTATGGAACAGTAGCTCTGTATACACTTAAGTGTTTCATGCTCAAGTGGGAAAAGGCATGTGATTAATTTTTTCTTCTCCCTTGGAGATTCACAATGTGTATTAATTCCTTCTCTACAATCCCACATCTTATTTTTAAAACTGCCATTCAGCACACTAAAAGCTTCCATGGAACTGCTGTGGTATATAATATTTCTAACTGTCTACAATATGTAACACAAAAATAATATCTAATATTAGTCAAACTCAAACAACCCGAAATTATATCATTAGTACAAAAATAAGCCATTCCAAAATAAAGTACTGAGTGGAACAAATAATGACTGACATTACAAATAAAAGCAGCAGGAGCCAAGAGCATAGAAAAGAAAGGCTTCCTAGGCCACTCTGCTTACTTCCTTTGCATGTTGCCTCAAACTACTCAGAGAAGGAACGACAGCAGGATAAATAGCTTTTTCCTTCTTTACCACCAGAACTAAAAAGAACTCAAAATGAAATGGCCCCAGTTGTATACTTACTTCATCATCTAATGTGGGCACTAATTGTATTAACTGAGTCTCAAAGATGACCCACAACTGCCAGCCTGTCTTCCTGAATATCTTGGATTTTGAACAATTTCTTCTTCAAAGGAAGGTGGAAGAATGAGGTTCTCCCTATAAATGTACTTAATGTCATCCTCCTCCCTGCAACTACTCTACTACTTACCTATTCTTTACCTGTTCTAAATTCTCAATGGGCTATATCTAGAAAAGACAAAAACTCTTTGAAAAGATACATGAACCTCAAAGTTCATAGCAGCACTATTTACAATAGCCCAGACATGCAAGCAACCCAAGTGCACATCAACATAAGATGTGGTACATATACACTCATATACATACAATGGAATATTACTCAGCCATGAAGAACGAACCATTGTCATCTGCAGCAACATGCATGGACCTAGAGAATATCATACTAAGTGAAGTCAGACAGGGAAAGACAAACACTTTATGGTATCACTTATATGTGGAGTCTAAAAACGAATACAAATGAATCTACATACAAAACAGAAACAGATTCACAAACACAGAAAACAATCTTATGGTTACCGAAGGGGAAAGGGAGGGCGGAAGGGATAAATTAGGAGTATGGGATTAACAGATATAAACTATACATAAAATAGATAAGCAACAAGACCTACTGTGTAGCACAAGGAACTATATTCATTATCTTGCAATAACCTATTGATATAATGGAAAATAATCTAATATATATCAAATTATGTATAGAATCACTTTGCTGTACACCTGAAACTAATACAATATTGTAAACCAACTATACTTTAATAAAATAAATTCTCAACGACCAATTTTAACTTGTTACAACATGAAGATAGAGAAGAATCCTTGAGTATGGGTTCAGTGTGACAGCTAAATATTACAAATAAATATTTCCTACAAATGTAAATCTAAAACACCTAAACAAAATTCTGAGCTTTTTGAAATAAGAAAGAGACAGAGAGATGGAGGGATGGAGGGAGGGAGGGAGGGAGGGAAGGAAGAGAAGAGAGGGGGAGGGGGAAGGCAAGGGGGGAGAGGAGGGAGCAGAAGGGAAGAGAGAAAGAACCAGTGACTTTTCCAGGTTACAATAATGACAAATGCCAACTTCAAGCTGTTTACTTGGAATAGCAAGATGTATGGCATTTTATTGATTATTTTTTTTAAAACTTCACTGGGCCTTATTATGTGAAAACTAATAAAACAGAAGCAAGCATAATAT